CTCTCCGTCAGCGTTTAAGGAAATGTATGGAAAACAGTATGATGAAAGTGCCTGCCGATGTTGGGTGTAAAAGGGCTAAGTTACCATATCTACTCCAGGAAACTCCAGAATGACTCATAGTTACTTCCAAACTTTGTCAAAGTCAGTTATAAATACAAAATTATAACATAACCAAAGTAAAGCGCGCGCTCTGATTGGTCAATTTAGCGTCCCCCATTTGCCCATGGGTGTACGCTGCTGACGTGAGCAAATGCAAAGACTATTTTTCCGCGCGCGCTTGTTTTTTCTGGTCACGTAAGATTTGTTAAATAAAAGGGAACTCTTTAGCTACAATGTATCAATGTTATGTTATAAAACAAATGGTAAACACCACAGCGTACACTATTGAGTTATGGATGCACTTGGGAGGTTTGCTAAGCACTCAAGAAGCTAGAGTCGCTCTCGGCTATCACCTCGAGCGACTCTTACCCTTCTTTCGTGCTTAGCAACCTCCCGCGTGCATCCATAACTCAATAGTGTACGCTGTGGTGTTTACCATTTGTTAAGGCTTCTGCATAGGGACAATCTAAAAATTGAATTAAAGACAAGTTCGTCTAAGCAACTGGACAACTCAAGTCATAGGAGCAAACTACTGAGAGCTGATTATTCACAACGCATGACGAAGAAGAACATTTCATTACCAGGTTAAAAGCTAATTTGAGAGGCAAGCTCAACTATTTGAGTTTGAAGTCCCAACGTGAAAGCCAAGACCCTAAATCAATCACTAACAACAACTTTGTGGTAGCAAGTATTATTGAAAAGTCTATCTAAATGATGGTTAGAGCTCTTGCGATTCTCACCGTCTTCCATTGTTGTCGTGAAAACAGCAGAACTTTTTGGTCCATCACCAGCAGAAGTGAAGGCCAACACTTGAAATTCATATTCAGTGTATTTATCAAGGTTGGTGACTCTTTTTGATGTGTTTCCACTGTCAGTAGTCAAGGAGGTTGCTAAAGCTGAGCCTTTCTTTTTATAGAAGAGTTTATATCCTCTGATGATTCCATGTCTGAAGTCCTCTGGTGGTAAATGCCACGAGGCTGTAATACTGGTTGAAGAGTTTACAGTGACACTGAACTGAGAGGGAGGTCCCGAAGGAGCTGCAATAGACCAGTCATATTTTAATTAGCATTTTAATAAAAGAATCAGACTGAGTGTCATTTTCCTCGACACTATAAATGGTGGAGCTGACTTACAGCTTTCACTTGGATTATCACTCAGGAAGATACCCATTATAGAGAGTGGCACATTCAGTCGTAGAGATGTCCGAGTTGTAAACGAAATGACCCGATAATTGGAGGCTTAATCAAGGCACATTTACAGTTAATGATATTGGTAAAGGTAAGAAAAGATTTACAACAGACAAGAGCGAAGCTTGCTATCATAATTTTGGTGCACTTACTCTTTATTATCAAATTTCTTTAAAACTTTGTCTTTTATTTGAATCTTCCTATAAGTCAATTTAAACGAGTGTGGGATAACAAGTTATTTAATTGAAGAGTCCCCCCTCCATATTTCTTATTCGTACTTATTCGGTAAGACATAAAAATACAACACTGCATGTTTTAACAACGTATGATAAATGTACATTGCCAGCTTTGAGTGTTTCAAAAGTATTTTAAATGTGACAAATCTAATTGCTGTATTTAGCATGGACAGATTTCAAGTTAATAGCTAAATTAAGTGTATATCCCTTACTTGTAACTTCAACAGTGCCCCCACCCCACTTAGACTTTACCTTCCTGGGCCATCACAAAACAGGACATTTTAATAGACAGAAATTGTTATAACACCATGCATGTACAGGGAAAGGTACCGGTGTATTTCTATAAAACAGGCAACTATGTACACCTTCCATAAAATTATATGTTGGAATCTAGATTGAGGTAAGATCTATCACATCAGAGATAGGACAAATAAACCCATAGACAAAGATTCGTTAAGTCTGTTTGGTCTCTTCTTTAGGGCTGAATAACATTCTGTAGAGACATGTCTAGCATCCAAAACTTTTTTGTTTCTTAAAAATAGTTTAATTCCTATTTGTTACCAGCCTCCTTTGTTTTCTCAAAAATAGCTGTACTATTTGGTCCATCCCCAACAGAAGTGAATGCCAACAAACACATAGAAAAAGTTTCATAAAGTCTGTTTGGCCTCTTCTTTAGGCCCGAATAACATTCTATACAGATATACCTAGCATCCAAAAATTCCTTTGTTTCATAAAAATAGATAGATCCGTATTTCTCACCAGCCTCCTTTGTTTTCTCAAAAATAGCTGAACTTTTTGGTCCATCCCCAACAGAAGTGAAGGCCAATATTTGAAATTCATATTCCGTGAACTTATCAAGTCCAGTCACTTCTTGAGTGCGAGTGGCCTGATTTTTAATGAACTTCATGCTTGCTGGCCTTGAAATGCCTCTTTGTTTGTAGAACAATTTATATCCTGTAATGTTTCCATTTCTGGAGTCTTCTGGTGGTAACTGCCAGGATGCTGTTATACTAGTGGAAGTGTTTGCAGTCAAAGTGAAGCCACCAGGAGGCTGTGAAGGAACTGCGATGGAGAAGTCGCATTATAGATATTACAATAATCATAGCGATAAATAAAATCATTGTGGCCATCGCCATCTCCTTATCATTATTAATGATGAACTTGTACATAGGTTTTTCCTCTCTCAAATGGTATTTATAACTGTTTTACAAATAATTTAAAAAATTGCCTTTTTTAACATAATTTTCTGAGTTAAAGTCTGTTACATATTCATTATTCTTTTTTCAATTAGCTAATTCAGTGAGGGCGTTTGCTAAAATGGTCTTTAGGATCATATTGCGAATCTGGTGATATTTCGTATATCATGTGCATGCATACATGCACACATTTGCATTTTTCATTTCACTTGGGAGAATATNCGACACAGCACAGATGATATGAAGTGTCTGTAGATCAACCTGTAGATATGGGTTAGTGTCACTTTTTTCTGCACACCATGATGCTCCCAATGCGTAGTTTAGTCGACCATTCTCTGCTGGCGTGGTGGAAGAAGAAGCAGTTATCCTACTGTCTGGAATGTTTCCACCTTCCATTCCAAGATCATACTGAAAACAACCTCCTAAAAAATTTAAAAAATGTTTAAAACGTTACACATGACCAAGAAACAGACCTATGGGTTAGAATGGGGGCTCATGGCTGTTTTCCAGAGACTTTGCAGCTATCGAAGCTGTATTATTTTATTTGGGGGTGGAGGGACTGACGGAGCCTGACGGAGCCTGACTGGACACCGAGGAAGCCCAAAGTGCTTGTCTTCCATTATTTGCTTTTTACGTTGACCCAACAGAAAGGCATCTAAAACTTGCGCGTGTGGTTTCATAGCCCAGTTATGGGTGTTTCGTTGATCAAAAGTCAATAATATTTTAATTTATCAATCCGTTTATTGACATTTAACTAGCAATTGACCACGTGATTTACAGCCCATTGCGTGATCGCTTAGGGTTGACCTTTGAGTTAATGTGGTATTTTTGCCGTAACACGCGCTTGAGAGCGATCAGTCCTTTTTCTACCTCGCTACTAGAAGTGTCCTGAGAGAATTTTGCTAACCTGTTTCTTGGTACTGGAGTTTTGATTGGATTGCGCCACAGAAGTGAGTAGTGTGTTTGTAATCAGTTGGAATTTTAGTATCATCATTTCGTTTTCCAGCATGAAATTGTCAGGAATCGCTTGCTGTTAGATCGCTCAGGAATTATGTATTAATTTTTTGTAGATCACATAAAAACCAATTAAAAGGATTATATGATTTAGTGTCCAATCAATTATTCGCGGGCCATTTTTCTCCACGATCCAATGGGAGGCATGGTTTTGAATCCTGTCAAAGCCTGAATTTTTTCTGGCTTTTTTTCTGCAATTGTGATCTCGCCTGAATGATGTTAATTTCACAGGGTGCCAGTGCATGAAATGTATATAATTTTATCTATTTTTACATTTTTACACAGTTATGGGCTAGTTTATACAAAAATAAATTGATATTTTTTACATTTTAATCAGTTTATAATTCGGATTACTCCATTTTAAACTATTTTTAATACATGTCATTAGATAATATCATAACATTATTTTGTTTCTACATAAACGGTTAGTTCCATTATTACACTTTTCGTCATTTTCAATGACCACCTAGCGATTGGTATTCCTGTGTGGGTCACAGGCGTAGTTGATATCTCCTCTGTATTGTTCTAAACAGTTCCGTAAATTAAAGGGTAAAGTTAAGAAGTAATGGTCAGTAAGTCCATAAGACGTGGAGTACTTAACATTTTAATAGTATTGAAGGTGAACTATATAATTACATGACTGTATACACTATAAAGTGTATACGCACGTGGGTTTGTAATTTTGCAGGAACAAACAATGCATATTCGAGACACTTTTAACAATTTACTGAAAAAGGTAATTGAGATTGAGTCTTGACCAAGTATACATTTCTTTTGTGTCCCACCTCTTGACTCAAAAATTGAGTTAGCGTTCTAGGATCCAGATATCTTTAGCTTTTTCGATATGTACATATATCTGCGCATGACCCTCATGTAAATCTACCTTTTCAACATTGGTTTCTTGGTACGTAACAGTAGTGATACCATCCATTGATGACTGAATCTTGTAGTTTGTTGTCCA